AAGGAGAAGAAGGAAAGAAAAAAATGTTTACAAAGGGGTACATTTTATATACCTTGGGTTGCAATGAATTCAACATTTTACTCTTAATGTAACCGAATTATCCTTAATGAAAAAAAAATATTGCACTATAGATTTACAGCAAGTCTTGCAAAAGTACCTTTGTGAAAAATGTGAAATGTATGTTATTCACTTTATCGAAAAATAAACTTTAATGGAGAAGAAAAATACATGCATGACTAGTCAAAAAGTTTTCCCTTGATTCCAAGGTTATTCCAATAATATAAAGCGCAAGGAAAAAATATGGAAAAAGTAAATTCATTACTATATGTTATACCTCGGTCTGCTGCCTGTACTAAAGCGACAAATAATATAAAGATGGGGGCACGATGTTACATTCATCGATTGGATGCAGAAGTTGGGAAGCTAATTTAGACATAAATAGTCGGAAAACGAAGATTTAATTTAAAAAGCATATATCTTTGTACATTTTTAAAAGTTTTTAAATTTACAATCTAGAAAAAAGAAATCTGAATGTAGCTTTTTTGTATCTGAGTTTTGTTACTTGTAAAATAAAAACTTACTGATTTACCGACTAAGTCTTTAAAAAATGACAAAGAAAGACCTGGTTTTGTAGTCTTTAATCAAATAAAAATATTTATATGTTTTGTAACGTTGATTTTTATTTTTAAGGGGGGGGGGGTCGTAAGTAAACCTTTTAATCTTGTTTACTTTCATTTTATGTTTACCCCCATCGTGACATTTTTTTTTTCTTGTTTCATGTACACTCTTTTGATATAACTGAGTATCCGACATAAATTATTTTCATTTTCATTTAACTTTTGTTATGCCATTAAACCTTTTTCTTTTAATCTTTGATATAAGAAATAAATCCATACACTTTCTCATGTGCAATGAAGAAAAACATTGGAATCCATTTTTCACATTCTCTCTCTCTCTCTCTCTCTCTCTCTCTCTCTCACATTCTGCCTTTTCCATTTTGTGTAGAATTTAACAAACACCCCCCTTTCTCTCTCTAACGATTTTTTTGACATTTTTCTAGTCAGTTTAACATAACTGCACATACTCAAAATTCATTTTCTTCTCGCTTCCTCAACATTATTTCTAAATTGTAAATGATGACTGCACACAAATAATTTCTAATTCTCATTTTAAGAAATATGATTTATTTAGATCGTTTCGTGTCGAAATTTATGTACTTTATCTCGATAGAGAATAGAGTAGTAATTACTGACGCTCGAAATTGAATTCTCTTCGTGATTGGAGGTGTGAATTTCCCGGCTCCAGCTAATGTCCCCGAGAAACGGGTCAGAGGGCACAATATTTCCACACCTAACTGTTCAAGAATGGACCGAGGCAGGAGATGATTTTCCAAGTGGGACCATTTTCGATTTTCTTGTCTGCTTGTGTAAAGTGTAAAACATGGAAAATGACGCATCCTTCGACATAAAGCACGCATTCCAGCCACGATAGAAACCTATATTTTTTCTAAGAAATGCATAATGCCTTCACATTGCTTTGTTCTCTTCTCCACATTTTCTTTCGTGTTTTAAATTTCCATTGTTGACAAACAGGCGCCCTTTATTTTTAATGATGCCAATCTTGAATTTTTACATTTTAAACCTTTTATCATTTACCAAACGATAATTGAAAATAGTCATTTTTATCGTTCTGGGCCTTTTATGGTAGTGTTTCATTATATATTTTTAACGATGCATTGTATGAGGCTTAGAAGCCCCACCCTACCCCCTGAATGTATGTTGAATGTATCAAAATCAACATTAAGAGGTGAAAAACATTCAAGTAAACTTTTTAAAACATTTTTTTTTTGTTAATTTCAGTTCCGTAAATTATCACAAATGCTCATGTTGCAGCAGTCAATTTCGGCATGTTAAAAATGTGATGAAATCTATAGATAAATACACAAGGGAAACGACATCTTATTTAAGATACGTATGTCCCATTCCAATCATTCGTTTAAGGACATACGCAACGTAGTTTGAACTTTACTGTCTTTTTCCTTGGAGTTGAAGAGTTCCAATACTTAAAGGAACTGTGTGCTACATTTTAATGTCTATATATGCTATTGTACACTTCTTCTAGAACAAGTTTGGATAAACAAAACATCTAGAATGTATGTTTAGTAATTTTTGTATATTTTTCTTTGAATTATACAAGAATTTTCATCAATTGATATCTTTTCAAAACCCCTGGTAATGCATGCTGATTTTTTGTCTACGAACATTTGGTGGCACTATAATCTTAAATTAAGAATATCTCGAAAAATTATCAGTAGGTAAGGTACGTTGCGTGTGTCCTTAAATGAAAAGAAAAAAAACAAACAACAATAAACAAAACAAAATGTATTAGTTGTAGTCATAGTCTGTTGATAATTCATTATAATAGTATGTCCAGAGAATATACATGTATACGTTAAAATGCCTCTCTTGTTAGACATTTCACAGCCATGTATAAACTAAATTGAGAGAGAGAGAGAGAAATTCCTTGCACTTATTGCAGATTTTTAATTTTAAAAGAAAGTTTCATTCATTTTATTTTTATGTATTAGACATCTACATCCGATAGTTACTTCTCGGTATCTCATACAGATTTTTGTCTACACAATAAACATAAACACGAGTGTGTGAAAATTCTACCCGTCAACAATCCTATCATTAAAACAGATGGACGAGATTGATCCAAGTCTACTGACCGATCCTTGTATCATATGGAAACTCTGTTCTACGGCTTTTTCCAATATTCTATAAATTACAAATTCTGTAACGTATCGACAATTTGACAGGTTTCTCAATGAAAATCTTGAAATGGTGACGGTATTCATAACATATGGCATTTTGACATTTTGACTACTGAATACTGAAACTTCGGAATGCCTGATTAAATAAATAAAATAATGTAAATATATATCTGTACTTATATTGATTTAATGCATTTAATAATTTTGAAATGTAAAGCTTTTAATTTTTTTTTTAAATATTTATATTAGAATTCCGTTATACATAATTCTTCTCATGCTTTTTATGATTAAATTACAAATTTTATTCTATTTATTTATTTTGTGTGTCATTGATTTTCACTTTCTTTTTTTTTTAACTTCTACACAAAAAAATATATACATATAAATATCACAAAATTAATTTCTAATTCATACAACAGTTTCAGCTGACTTGCAATACTTCTCCTTTTTCATAATGATAATAAATATTTACCAAATTTTAATTAGTAAATTAATAAACGCAGCGTGATCAAAGGTAGAGTATCACAACTTCTCAGACTTGTTAATGCGATTTGATTTATTCATTTCAACATCCTTCCGAAAAATCTGTGAAATTTTAAGCAACCCTCGGCTAACGTTATTGCCGTGAGAATTCACAACTAGAAATACTTACTGACTGTCAAAATCAATTAAAAAGCAGTACTTCAAAAGGAAATAATTTAATGTGCAGTCAAAACATTATTAACTGAAATGGCATAGAGACACAGTGGGGTTAATTAGATTACAATATTTTGCGAGTAAGCTTCAAATGTTGTACTAAGATTTTTTGTTATGTCAATTACAGACTTCTTAAGTGATGTTATAATTTTATCTACAGTTAACGTGGGAAAAGATTTTTTTAAACTATATATTATACATATTACAGAATTTAATGCTATACATAAAATTATATTTAAAAGAAAAAACTTTTTTGTTCGCGTATTTATCACCAGTACATAGATTAGATATAAAAATAAACACACCAATTTTTATTCATGCAGGGTATCTTGTTTATATTAAGCACAACGTTATAGGTGTATTGTGTTTATTTAAAATGGTGAAAGATGCAACACAGAATGTTCATATACACATTGGAAAAACATATAACGGTAATATATTTCTTCGACTAATAATCGTCATAAAATATTTGTGAGCAATAAAGAATCCAACGTAGTTTTTTATTCATCGAAGAATTCCTATTTTCCAAAGTTGCAGAATCTTTGGAGAATAGAGGCATAAAAGGCGTTTTATATGTTAATGACAATGTATCGAAAATTCGTAAAAGGGGCGTGTTCTCGCCAAGAATCTGTACGGAGGCAGGCGAGGCAAATGGCAAATCAACACATCAAGGCTCAAAGATCGCCAATTTTGATAAAACTAACTCAAACTCCAAAAGATTCTTTGGTGAAAGTTGCAACAAGAATTTGTAAAATTTTGCATCTTACTGCTTGGGCTTTTAACACCTTCTGGAAAAACGGTGTTGGAAATAGTGCGGATCTGCGTTTCAGGACTACACTTTTTGTGATTAGAGTGGCAAATTTTTGGCTTTCGTTGCATACATATTTTTTGCACAGCAAAATAAGGTAAATTTGTGCTTTATTAAACTACTCATGTCAAATCATTTTTCCGGTAAAACTCGATGTCGTGAAATGTAACGGTATATGATATGTTTAAATGTCAAAGCTTAATTATTTCAAAGTCCTGAAACGGTAAAAATACATTTCCTAGCTTGGGTATAATCAAAATCTCAATTGAAAGTTGATCGTCTCATAATTAAGTTATCAAAAATTTTGATAAACACTTCACAATTATTATAAATTGTTTAGGTTTTTTTTAAATGTCTCAGTACAGCTTGGAAAAACAAACAATTAAACTCTCAGACCCCGCCCCTTTAATCAGTTTGTCCAATCACAGGTGAGAATCGCGCCTAATTTCTCAGCAAACCGACTGAGCGGATAATTACACCTTTTGTTACCTAGGATGATTGACAGCTGTGCATCTTGGCAGGACTAGAAGAGACAAAAGAAAACTCACTATTATCTTTTGATTTGCTAAGTAAAAGTTATTTGTCAAAACAACCGGTAAACCTTATTAGGGCTCCGTATCGCCACTTCACCTCAAAAACAACTTTACTGCGAAACCTGCATCACCTAAGAGAGCGAAATTACACACTTACTACCTGTTTCAAACACTTACAGTTTTAATAATGCTCTTGTTACAGGGTAATCATTATTCCTCCCAAGGATCGTCTACTTCTGCATCTATGTATGAGGAGGATATTATCAGCCAAAGGGCCAGGGCATTTCCCCTGGGTCATGGACTTATGCCCACCCCACAGGCTTTCAGCTTTGGATTTCCTGTTCATCCGGCACACGACCCGATGGGTCTTGCAAGTAAGTCACACACTTTTGAAATTATATTCAGACAAATTTTAGTCTTGAGAGATTTTAAAACAGCCAAGAAATTGCAAAAATAAAATTCAAATATATTCGGTACATTTTCTATGTATTCTTGTGAAATTATCTTCATCAATATTCTCAAGAATTTGCAATTACTGAAGCTGTCATTTCCAACAATCTTTGTGTCAGTTTCAGACCTTTTCTTTATGTTTATTTCATTTAATGACAATCTGTGAGTCTCATTTTATCAATAAAACCAATTTTACGAGTCCATGTCTTTGACCAAGTCGAACAGTTTAAGGTCTGATTAAACGTTCCTCTAATATCTGATTTGTATCTCCTCGTAATATTTATATTAAAAAAAAATCATAATTATCATTATCTTGTGTTTTCTAACCTGTTTTCAAAATGCCTAAAAATTAATAGTAATATAGAATGTAATAAATAATTACACCAGAAATTGCGATATTGACAATTCAAGTGATTTCCATTAGGGTTATATAGGAAATGCCATCTTCTGGTATCTTGCACAAATGCCTGGTAAGGTACCTCAGTTTTGTTAAAGTACCAATATTTCAATGACAAATTGGGGGAAAGCTATAAATTATTGAATAATCTGTCGTCCGACCTTAATCAGAATGTTTCAATTAACCCCCCCTCCCAAATAAAAAATTAAAGCAAATTCTTTTTTTCTTAAATTTTAACATTAAATTAATAACGGTACAGTACAAACACCCATAGAAAGAAAAGCAATGACTTGGAAATTCTTGTACATGCACAAGATAACAAATAGTTGATGTGTTTTCGACAATTTGTCGAGGGCACGTGCCTCTCGTTGATATCACACTGCGGCGACGTCAGTGCACGCGCATTCCCACCGACATACAAATTATAACAACTTTATACCGCAATAATAAAGCGATATTGAAATTTATATCTATTTGATTAAGCGACATTTTGACATTATAAATATTTCCTCCCTTTAATCATATTTTTATATATATTTAGTATCTTATTTTTTTTTTTGTTGATATTTTGTTTGAACCACTGAATAGCATTAAAAAAAATGAGTTTATACAGTCTCTATATATTTTAAAATCTATCTAAATTTTCACGATTCAGAATAGCTGTCTCTACCTTAAAAGCTTTTAAATGATAATAATTTTACAAAGATAGAATTTTTGTTTTGAAATATATTAAAAAAAGCAATTAATATTTTGACATGCACGAAAAAAAAAAATGAATGGATGAATAAGATTTAAAAAAAAAAAAAAAAAAAAGGATTGTGAATATTAACGTTTTAAGGAAATCCATAAAGAATAATTTTCTCGATGACGTAAGTTTTCTTAATTGTATTATTTGTTTTCATTTTTGTTTTTATTTGTGTGTGTTTTGTTTATTTGATTTAAATATTTCCAATTTATCAATAGGTCAGAGTCAACAATTCGGGGGATATCCTCCGCTAACATCACATTCTGACCACAAAAGGATGCTGGGTCCTGGGCAGGGAGACACAATGGATAAAAACATCAAAATAACACTAGAAAACAGAGACCTCTGGAGCAAATTTCACGGCATTGGTACCGAAATGATTATCACCAAAACTGGAAGGTAAGGAATTTTATTTTTAATTTATTTCAAGAATGACACATAACATTACAGAATATTTAGAAGAAAAAAAATCGAAGAAATCGAAGTATTTATTTTTCCTCCATAAAAAAATCATAGTATGTTAATTGACAAGTTTAAGGACCTTAAAAGGCGAGTAGCATTTATTATCGGGTTCATTGTAGATATATTTCATTGTTTGGCGATTTATTACACTTTGCCGGACATTCGAAACTGTAATACAATAGGAAGGGGGAAATTGACCACTTTTTTCCCACGTTTTTTCGTATCCGGCCACTTGTCCCTAAATCCGATTAACTGTCACGTATATATTTATCTTTCATATTTAATCTTTTTTGTCATTTCATTTATGGATTATTAAAAATGTTAGGTAACCTTTTTTCAATATGAATAAGAATCCTACTGTGATCTATTAAACTATGCTTTCAGCTTAATATGTGAAGGGTGCAAATTTACTGTGGTTGAAAGGTGTGGGAAAATTTGGTGAAATGTTCTTAAAGTTTCACTATAAATAAGTCGGTCTTTGTTGATTTTATTTCTCTTGATTATGAAACAACCACCTTTGCTGTAGAGTTCGACACTTAAGTCTGTCTCGTTCTGCTTTTATTGATCTTTTGAATTGCATTTCAAAGATGTAAACTACTGGACCCGCTCTTCAAATAGGAATAAAATTCAATTCTAACTTCTATCCACTTTGTAAATGAAGATATTTTCAATACATGTTTTTTTTTTTTGGTTTTATTTCAATCTGTTTATTTTTATCAAATAATATATAATATTTGCTTATAGTTTTTAGCAAATCCTTTAAATATAAGGATCAAATTCTTGAAGAAATATAATATTAGGTAGTATTGATTTTGGCTTAAAGTTTCCCGATTTTTGTTCACTCTCCCCTCATCTTCATTAAACGACTTATACCGTATAATACATTTATTTTGTTCATTTGCTCGGAAAAGGGGTGGTCCTGTATTTAGACCGAGAGTCTCGAAATTACAATAGAAATACCTTTAGCTTATTGTTGAAAAAAATTCTTGTTATTTTTGATGTATTATTTACCGTTTCACAGTTTTCTGTTAACTGAAAACTCAAACAAGACTCGATAAAGGTATAGAAATAGATACTAGACAATTAAAATTAACAACAGGAAGCCCATTTTCTCTAATTAAGATATAAACAAGTCATACATGTGGCTAAATTTTCTCGCGGTGGGACTCAGGTTGCGCGGGTGCGCTTATTCAATCTTTTGTCCCAAGTCCCCACCCTTCACGCCCCTCACAGCTGCCCGTCGCCACCTCTAAATTTGTCGGACTTTAGAAGGTAGAAATCCCCCTTTTTATTTAAATAAATCAGCCAATTTTACTTTCTTTTATGTGACATCTGCTACACATTTCAATAAGCATTTACTCATCTACTGTCCAATTATTATAATTTTATTTGTATACCCATTTTTTAAAATAAAGATTGACTATCCATATTTATCAAAATATATAAATAAAATTAAAATTGAATAAGAATTCACCTATCTTTAATTCCACTTTGTTTTCAGACTCTTTACATTAATCATATATTTATTTTTTCTACAATTTTTGGCTAAGAAATTAATTTGGATTAGTGTCAATTTTGTCCAATTCAACGAGTAATCTGTATCTACATTCGTCATTGAATTTTTTTGTTTGTAAAATCGTCACCATAAACTTATAATTGGCGATTATCAAATTACCGTGACATAACACCGTCGGCAAATTGTTAATTATAAGAAAACATCGGCATATTTGTCCGAAAATTACCACATCCTCCAATTATCTTTCAGTAATTACAAGGAAAGGTGTGAGACGATCCGTGTACCTACAAGGATTTCGCGTTAGGATTAAAAGGGGGAAAGAAATCGGCGTTGTCTGAACAAACGCGAGCAATTATCGAATTCGTCAATTTTCACGAAATTGAAATAATTTTTTTGCGACCGACTTTGTCTTTCTCGGCGGTGCGATTTTATAAGTGGCGGTGTAATTTTTATAAGTGTGAATTTCTAAGAAATTTCAAGTGGTTCTTCACGCAGATAAAAAACTTATATAAGAATCAGGGCTGCGTTAAGTTCCCCTGAAAAAAATTAAATCTGGGCTATTCTAGAGGTTGGGCTAATCTTGCTTTTTTAAACGAGATAAACTGATCAAGTATAGCCTTGCGGCGTATACAATCTGTTTGTTTTGCACAAAAAATAAATTTATTCAGAAGTGGTTCTTGACTTTGGAAGTGTGATCATGAACAACAGATAATTGAATTAAATGAAGGTGGTGTTCACAAGTTCAGACAGAAATTGTGTTATTTTTATACAATCCCAAAAGATTTTTGTCGCGTTTAGTTTATTGCTTCACAGTATTTAAATAAAGTTAAAGTCTTAAGAATGACAAGAATGATAATTATAATAAATTTTTCAACAGGAAAAAGATAACGCAAGGAAATAAATGACAACTTTATATAATATAGTATAAGAAAATTGATAAAATTTATCAAAATGATTATTACTGTATGATTTTAAAAATATTTTATTTACAAATATTATAATTTTGTCTCCTTTTTTTTTTTTAGACGAATGTTCCCAACTCTAAAGGTCAATTTGGAGGGACTTGATCCCCACTCTAAGTACATCCTCCTTATAGATATCGTTCCTGTGGATGATTGTCGTTATAAGTACCACAACTCAGAATGGGTGGTGACGGGGAAAGCGGAACCCCATATGCCTGGGCGCCTGTACATTCACCCCGACTCCCCGGCCTCTGGGTCCCATTGGATGAAGCAACCTATGACATTCCACAAATTGAAACTGACCAACAACAATCTAGACCAGAATGGACATGTAAGTAATTTAATCACTTACTTATTCTTTTATCGAATTGAATTAAAAGGTGCTTTGTAAAAAAAAAAAAAAAAAAAAAAATACTAATTGAACAATTTTTAGGAAATCCAAAGGCTAATGCTTGAGTCAAACTTTTCTGCAAGCATATCGTGAAATATTCTCTGTTTTTGGTCGTGTTGTCTAAATATCTTTTTTCCTAACAAAAATGAATTGGTGCTGTAGTTTTGTCACGATAAACATAGAACAATAGGGATTTCAGATATTCAAAGTTATCTAAAATCACGCGCATTGTGCTGACTATTTCGCAAAGTCTTCAAACCAAGTACTCCCTTGGTGCCAGAAAGTTTACGCCCAAATTCATCAAAAATCTCTTCCGTTTTGATTACGGGAACATTTTCTTTCGTGCCAAATCTTAATCTATTAAATAAGACATTTTCTTTCGAATAGCTTCAACTTCATCTGAGGGAAAAAAGATGAAAGGATTTTTGATTTTCATGGGGGGAGTAATTTTTTTTCCGGTTTCCAGCAAATCGACCACGGAGACAATGAAGACGTAGAGCGTCTCAGGATTCCGTTTATCATATCTATAACAAAATAATAATTCTTGATACGATCACTTCACAGAACTATCAAAATTTGATACTTTTGTCTACCCCGAGGCCTTCCGATAATGTTCATCTGGTCATGTTTATTCTTTAACGCTCACCACCAAACAATTAGCATTATTTTACTAAAGTGACGAAGCATCGACAGACCTAACACTGATGGAGATCTAGCGACTGTGTAAAAAGAACAGTCCGGATTTCTAAAACGGTCGCTAATTTGTTGATTACATTACCCTCCCCCGGGTATGATGTCTCTTTTTCACCGTCACGGACCAAATGAGTTGATCTTTTGGGGAATATTGCAATCGAGAAAACCATGCAATATGATACGATTTTGATCTTTTAGAGCTAAAATACAAAATGATGGCAATTCTATTGTTCTTTTATTACCACAAACACATGTCGACAATTTGGATTTTTATTTATACCAATAGCTTTTTAAAGAGTAGAAGAGAGAAAAAAGGGGAAATAGAAATTTTTGCTTAGTAATTCATACCATGGATTTCATGATGGGACAATGGAATTAGATACATTTCTGTCTACGAACGTCAAATGTGCGAGAATTATCATGTCGAATTTACACCTTTGGAATTAAAAAATCCCGGCTGAGATTAATTAAGTTTACGCAAAAATAGACACATATAGGACACCAATTTCAAGACTTTTCACACTAGTATCAGTCAAGTCGCAAATGATGAAAATTACCTGTGCATTATTCATTATATGTCATAAAATACATCGATAATTATCGCATAAAATACAAATAATGATGTTTTATTACATTTAAATAAATTAAAAAAAAAAAGAAAGAAAGAAAGGGGAAAAACCAACAAGATATCATAAAAAACATTTTATTAATGTATGGTAATTTATTGGATTTTATAGATGTCCTTTTATTTTCGTTGCAGATAATTTTAAACTCAATGCACAAGTATCAACCCAGAGTTCATGTAGTGCAAGCAAACGATATATTCACAATGAGATGGAATTCCTTCAATACGTACGCATTCGAGGAAACTGCGTTCATTGCGGTAACGGCGTACCAAAACGAACAGGTGAGTTGCCTTCTCAGACGACGTTAAGTACAGTAGTAGCAGTACCCTGTTCAATATTTGATGTATCTCACAATACCTGTTCTAATCAATTCATGCCATCAACATCACACGATAACAATTCCATGTTTGGACTATTGCGTGAGGTAGATAAAACTGGAAAGAATGGAGTTTGTTCAAGGGATTAATGCGCACAATAGACAGCGCCACTTCAGTTCTACCCTTGATTTATGCTTTTCGTTATAAATTGCACTTGACGTGTTGTTGACTTTACAGCTATTCCGTCAGGAAATACCTTTATTTTCATTCTTACAAAAACATTTCACGTAACAGCTTTTTATTTCATTGAATTTGTTCAATCAGTAAATCACAAGAATGTTTTTATCCCAAATTCCTGAAAATACCGTAATGCATATTGTCCCCCCTTTCCCTAATAACAGAATTTTAGTGAATTTTTGGCCAGATGCAGCAGACGTCATCTGATCACAGAGCATATTTCCCGCTTGTCTTTGGAGGATTTGGAAAAACTATCAACGGAATGGCTCCGTTAGCCCCGCACTCAATTAAAAGATCGAAATAAATTATTCGACAACAATGACTATTTAACTACAATTGTATTGGCTTGACAACACAAAGTCCAGTTTCTCTAGACAGCAATATCCCTTACAGTTTTAATGAACAAACATCCGATTCCGATAATTCAATTAAGTCTTTCCGTACCGCATTAATTACACCGTTTTAGAAAAATCAATGACAATAATTCTATACTATTTTCCTTAATTTTTCAATATTTCATTTATTTTGACATGTGTGGATTCAATTTCTTTACCAACAACATAATAAAGATTTTATTAATTTTATCTTCTACAGATCACACAGTTGAAAATAGACAACAATCCCTTCGCCAAAGGTTTCCGAGATAATGGAATGGGAAGAAGGTAATTATAAATAGACTATCATAAAACTTTCAAAATTCCAGTACAAATAAAGATTTTGAAATAAAAAAAAGTTTAAGAAAATGGCTGGAAAATCAAGAACCAAAAATAATGTCTTTTTTATTTCCCTACAGAGATCATCGGTTGAGTATGAAGCGCCCAGCAGGTGAAGAAAACATTTCAGAGATTGGAAAAGGTAGGGGCAAATTATGATCCACACTTTAAGTCTGAATTACAGTGAAAATATACACTATTTTGATCAAATTAGCTGTCTGCTTGAATAATTGTCTCTCGCCGTCTATTTCACTTTTTTGGTCGAAATCTGTTACCAGGGTAATATGTAACACTGGATACTTCGCCTATTTGGAGTGATTTTTCGCATTTATTGCCATAACAATCGGGTTTAGTTCCTGGGTGAATTTAAACCTCACACCTAGTCGCAGCGCATCTTGGCTAAACGAAAAAGAAATCCATTGAGCGTTCGAATTGATGAAATTACCATCTCTCTCGTTAAATATTGATGGTAGCACCTAATTGAATCAGGGGACGTTCGCTGAAATATCGCCGAAAGTTTTCGCACCTTCCCCTTCGTAATTCCATTAGGTAACTAAGAGCACATTACAGCACCTGCCAACAAAGTCACAAATGGGATTCAAAGCACTGGACACTCAAAAATAGATCCCAAAAATCCCCACAAATTTTGGAATGAAACATAAATCTTATGTATTTATTTGCTTTACTAATATTATTCTATTTTACAGATAACTTCTCCAAGAAAATAAAGTTAGAAGACGAAGGAAACGAAAGGAAAATGTCAAGAATTAAGTCTGAAGACGAAAGTGATTCTATCCCTCCAACCCCCGAACCTCATCACGCTGACGGACTCGACGGAGAACTACAACCTCTCCATACAAAAACCTCTCCAGTCAACGGAAGTACAACAGGACCACTGAAAGCAACCACTCCGACTCAAAGTGCTAACTTGCAACAAACTCACTGTCAGTACATGAGCAGTGCTGCTAAATCGTACTCTCAGTCGTGTATGGCGTCACCAAATGATCAGCTTTATTATCCGCATCATTCCCCCATCAACCGCACCTCACCCGCCAGCTCGTTCTTGCCTGTCTCTACTACTTCCGGACTGCTCCAATCGGTGTCATCAAGTTTAGATTTGCATAGTGTAAATCCTCAAATGCAATCTTGTCGTCTGCCGCAACAAAGCAGCGACTGCGCACTCCGACAGCCATCCGGGCATTTATCAAGCAGTCATAACTACGGAATCCGAACTACACCACCAACACAGCATCCTTCCTTGCCATCTTGTACATACATGCAACCAACGCAACCTTATCCCTCCCATCTTACACCCAATGTTCACATGATGAACATGAATTTCACTGGACCGATGGCCTGAACAATCTATATCATGATCAATATGGAAAAAAATATATATTGATGACGTCATCACACCAGAGCGGGCTGTTCGCGTCGAGCACTCGAAGTTCTTGAAAGCATATCACTAAGAGACAGTGACATTTCATCTGATATGCCCGCAACATTAAGAGGGTAAATGTTGTTTATGTATGTATACTATGTACAGGAACAATTGTGAAATACATGTAGTATGTTCATATTTATTTATAACAACCTTTGTAAATTACCCCCAAGACAATCGAGAAATCCTGTGACTTTCACACGATGCACCAATTTTGAAGGGTTTTATTATTTCTTCTTTTACGCATGATTAAAATGGTGCTAGTACTGATGTACAATATTGCATGTCTGTTCATAAATATATGTTTTAATACAGATTAAAAAATCTTGAGGAAAAAAAATGTGTTGTCTTTTTCGTTAAATCAGCAACATTGTTTCTCATGGGTTCATTCGAGGTTAGCAATATGGGTCTAAGAGTTGAGGCAAAATATTTTTTATGAGGTGAAAAGGGTTTTCTCGTATACTTACAAAGCCTGAAACATTACGAATCTCTTTCCGACAATCCAAATTACAGCACCGTGCTAGTCAACAATTCTTTCCATTTAAAATTAATGCTAGTGAAAATAAGTCCAGAACGAGATTTGTTTTTTTTTTTCGAAGAATTAATCAGAATTAAATTTTTCAAAGTTCAGTTCTTCGACACTTCAGAGGAAAAATTGAAGTACAGTTCAAATCAGTTTATTTACTAAAATATCTACAAAATGGTACATTGGGCTGCATATTATACTTTAAAATATAATATTGTAGGAAAAGCAACATGATTGTTTCATAAATTTAATGTGGGATTTTTTTTTTATAAATATAGTTATTTAAGCTCACCTGGTCATATATAACAATAAAATTCTTTCTTTCTTTCTTTAAATATGGAGATGAACGGTTGCTTATTGAAAAAAAAAACACCATAATCCTCTGACGCGGTTTCCCGCAATGTTACAATCTAAGTGAAAAAAGGTGAAGATAGGAACTCCTTCATCCAAAATTACCTATAAACAATACAAATCTGTGAACAGGGCATAAAACACGGACCCCTGTAAATTCCAGAGCTGGGATCAGGTGCATAGGATAAGTAAACATCCCCTGTCAAGTCACCCCCTCCGTGAGCCTTTTGTATTGCTCAGGTAGACGGTATAATGCGTTATCAAATTAAGTATAAAAACAAAGAGCTATCATTTTATTATTTATTTGTATATGTGTAAAAAAAAAAAAAACATAAACAGTGAGCGAAAATACTTTAACCATTGTATTATCGATGTGTACGTTAACGTTACATTGATGGAAGGACATAAAATAGTTGATCTTTGACACTTAAAAAAATCTTCATACAGCGACTTTAAAAACTGGAATTAACTAGTCTACATGTGGTTGTGTTTATTGATTGATCAACGGCAATCGGGTTTCATGTAGAATAAATGATTAAAATAAACATACAGATAAAAATAAATCTGACAGGTGTATGATTGGCATTGCTACTAAACGTAGAATGAACCAAAATATAATTCCTCGCAAAATTTTTGCTTGATTTGAATAAATAGTTAGTGCAATTGTATCCGATACAAATAAAAACTTTGAATTAATTAAAGAACATGGACGTATCTGGCATGTAGTCTGCAAGAACGTGTACGAATCATTCATGGTTTGAATGTCCAGTTAAGCAGACGATTTGGTTGGCTGACCACAGCTGGACAGACTTTACAAAAGTTATGCGCATAAGAAATTATTACATTTGATTGAAATACCATTGTCAACAAATATTTAAGTCTGCTATTATACCACGTATAGTATAACTTCACATAATTAATAAACAGCTTCAAAATAAAAGATTAAAGTTAAATGCAAATGTATTAAATTTTCAGTGTGTGCTCTCGGTGTAACGCAATCAATTTTTAACTTTATCTAAATTTTAATAAGTCAGTAAAGAAAATCAAATCGACCAACGGCTTGATTGTGTTTTTTAAAAAAATAAATAAATGCTTTAGAGGATCGAATAAGTGAAATTCCCACCGTCATAAACAGGTAACATAAGCATTTGCGGAAACTACTAACTTTGGGTTTTAAAAGTGATTGGGGGGGGGGGGGTATTTTTATTGTCTCTAATTCTTCTGTCCATTTTTTTTTTGCTCGTTTTTTTTTTGAGTGAAAATACACACAAATAACGTTTTAAATTCCGGGAGAGATGACCCAGTGATAGCAATTTTATAAAATAACGTATTTGAAAATATAACATTTTGTACCAAATAACTCAGCTAGCCATATTTCATAGCACATTTTACCAAATTAAAACACGCTATCGAGAAAATATTTTCCTTTTTGTATGTCACAGGAACCCGATATATTAATAGAATGCTAAAATATATTGTGACGGATCAATAAAGTTTTCACTTTTCAATTGTGCCCAGATTCCTTCCGAATCCAAATCAAATACACCCTCATTCGAATTTGATAAACGGCATTAGTTCTGTTTTTGTTTTAAATTAGAATAATCAATTAGCTTTAAATGCTTCAAAATGTTACTAATTTTGTTTTGTTTCTTGTATTTTTTTTAATTGTGTACGGCGTTTACTTAGAGTTTTAGTTGACAAAAATAAATTGGTTTAAGTAAACTATCTTAGGGATGACAAACCCGTTTACTCGGGAGTTTTAGTTGACAGAAAAGGAATACTATAAAGTAACATATGTTTAATCAAATATTGTTCTAAATGGACAAAATTACCATATCATGGGCGGATACAGGATTTGTGATTGGGGGGGGGGGGGCGTGGATAACTTCGTTCAGGCAGGGGGTCTGGGGGCCGCCTTAAGGCCCCCAGTGGGTCCAGGGCGAAGCCCTGGTGGGGGCCCAGGGGGCGAAGCCCCCGTAAGCTCCTGGGTTTTCGTGTATTTTAAGAGTAAAACCAGGCACAATAATAGGGGAATTGGTTAGTTTATATGTACCAAAGTTTGGAATTATTAATACTAGTCATATCATACTTTGAATAGAGGGGGCCCAGGGGGCGAAGCCCCCGGAAGCTCCTGGGTTTTCGTGTATTTTAAGAGTAAAACCAGGCACAAAAATTGCGGTATTGGTTTGTTATATACCAAAGTATGGCATTATTGATATTAGTCATATCATACTTTGAAAATTTTAGGGGGGGGGGCCTGCGCCCCGCACGCCCCCCCCTTAAATCCGCCAGTGCATATTATAACTCAATATCGGTTTAAAAATCTAATATTTTATTTTACGAAGAAAATATGCACGAACAATAGTAAATATATGTTGACACAGAGGAAATTCGAACCTAAGCTTAATTTTTCATTTTTGTCACATTTTTTTTTCTTGCAATATCAAGCATGAAGTTACGACATTATATAAGTTTAATACTAGCAGAGTAAGGGCAACAAAAGTAATTTGAGGCTTTAAATAATTTAGAGCTCTTGTCATTCAGATTTTTGAAATATTAGATTAAAAATGAGTAAAAATTAGAAAATTGTCTGAGGAAATTCAGACTAGGATAATTGACAAGTTTATGGTTCAAACTCTCATTGCTTATTTATATCATAGACCTAAAGCAAATCTGGGGCCACTAGCATGAAAAGTAGGGACCCATTTTACAAAAGAACTTACGACTAAGACCAAAAATTTCAGTTGCTTGTAAAATTTTGCAAAATTAATGATTCTGTTTGAAATTGCTAGCATAAAATATTTTGTTAAATTCTTTTTAAAAATTTTAAAACAATTTTCAAATCAATGTGAAATAGAGAGTAATGAGCAGATTTAAATTTTGGTGTTAGTCGTAAGTTCTTTTGTAAAATCGGTCCTAGGTCATTGACCCCGTCATTTGAAAGTGAATAACAACACTACGAACATAGATCTACTATGTACAGTAGGTGGTTTTTCATTCTTATCAGTGAACTTTTTTGTCATCTGAGTAAACGTCATCCTTAAAACAAAAATTGTACAAATGAAAAAAAATAACCATGCGTGCAATAATTCATTATCAATATCAAAATGTAATGGTTTTTGATTTTTAGAAAAAATGGAATATGGTAATGCAGAGGAAATTCGAATGATTTTTATTTATCTTTTTTTTCCTTCATTTTACCAATACTTTTTTCTTATGATATTATTCTTGGGCCCGTTATAGAAGAACTTACGACAAAGACCAAAATATTATTCCGCGAATAACTTTCTTTTTTATATTAATTTGAAAATAATTGAAATTTTTTTCAAAAGAATATGAAAAATTATTGAAGCCATATTGAACAGAATCATTAATTTTGCAATATTTTACAACCAACCAAATTTTTGGTTCTTATTCGTTAGTTCCTTGTAAAACGCTCTCTGAAAATTCAGTATCTATTTTTAAATACAATTTTGCAATCATAATGTATGTTAAGGCTCATGTATTATTTCAAATAATTGGATGGCATGCAATAAGAAAAATCTAAAATATAAACAAAAATCATTCCAGACAATTAACATATCTCAAGAATTTGATCATTGACCTCATATAATTTTTACACCAATAGAATAAGGGCAGTATAAGTAAACTGAAGCCAAAAAATAATTTACAGTTCCTATGATCAGGCTTTTGTAATATTATATTAAAATTGGGTAAAATTTTGAAAATCGACAGAGAAAATTCGGACTGGAATAATTATGTTCAATCTCTATTTGTTTACTTATATTTAGCAACACTAACCCTATTTTCATCATATTTCATTATCCAAAGAGTTTTGTTACTTGTCATATTTTTTTGATAAATTTTTCAATTTTCTCAAATTTTCACACTTTGTCCAATACTTTATTGGACAGCGTGTGAAAATTTGAGGTATTTCCGAGAAATGCTCAGAAGCCACTGGCATTAAAAAGTAGGTCATTGACCTAGTTATTTGAAAGTAAATAATAGAACTACAGTGTACAATGGGTGGTTTTTCATTCCTTTGATTGGAATTTTTTGTCATCTGAGTAAATGTTATCATTTCATGGGCATCGTTTTAATAATCGATACAGCATTGTTGTTGTTAATGAAACTGAAAATACTAATTGTAGCATTAGTCAAAATCATCTCACAATCTTAATATAAATACCTATGACAATAGTCAAAGTGATTCCAACATCCTTTTAATAATATTTGTAGCATATATTAAAATTATTCCGAAATCCTACTAAAAATAACTGTAGCAATTTTTAAAATTATTCCAAAATCTCACTTAAATACTTATTGTATGTCAAAATCATTTCAAAATCTTACTAAAAATACTTGCACCATAAGACACAATCATTCCAATCTCTTACTATATACGTACTTGTATCATAAATCAATATCTTTTCAAAATCTTG